GCTGTCCGCTCTTGTCCCATCTCTCGTAAAGGCATTCGGTATTCCGACTTTTACCCGGTTATCCATTCCTCAGTCCTTACCCGTTGGCAGGCTTCTTGGTTGTCTGTTACTGGTAACAAGCTACGTACTCTTAAATGTTGTGTTTCCTCGTGGCCGTCCTCCTTCCACCGTAACCGACGGTGGGAAACAGCTCTGGCGAGGTTGTGTATTGGCCATACTCGCTTAACCCATGGTCACTTGATGGAGCGCCGCCCTGCTCCTTATTGTCCTAGTTGCATTGTCCCTCTTACGGTCGTGCATGTCCTTCTTGAATGTCCTGACTTCCAGGATGAGCGTGTGTCTTGCTTTCCGACCGCCCCTCACGGTCACCTGTCCCTCGATAGAATTCTTGGTGACTCGGATACTTTTGATATCATTCGCCTTATGCGTTTTTGTTCTCGTATTGGCATCCTTGGTGATATTTAGCGCCCTCTGATTATTTTGCGTATTTGATGGTGCTACATAGCCTTCCCGGTTTGGTGCCTTCTTTTGATAATTACTTACTTACTTAGGGTTCGAGCGATCTAACATGCACTCAAAGTCATAAAAGCACATGTGACTAGGACCATATCCCCGTCCATAGTTACGGAAAGTAATCTTCCTCTCTGGTGGGTAGAATTTGAGAGTCTGATGTACTTTGCATGTACTTTCATGACTCTGCATGCGATCTGCTGGGAGTGATATCATACAACAATGACAAAAGCTGTGATGACCTGGGATGCGATCTCCATGATCTTGCATATTACGTACATATTGGTTGAAATCCTTAATTAATACTAAGTGTTGAGCTTCCAACATCAGCAATGGTATGACATCTGTATATCCCCCTCTTCCCTTGCTAGCTAGTGTAATGTAGTGTCGTTGTCGTCTAGCATTTTCATCTCTTTCTAGTGAATAGATGAATATACTGACTTTATTCATTTTCTCTACCTTGTGAATATCCTCAAACGTCACTGCAGAATTGACATCTGCTGGCCAATTAATGTGTCTGAGACACCAACTAGCATTCACAGATCTAGCACGGATATTATCAAGATGCATCCCCTTAGCTAAACATTTATAAGCAGCAACACACTGCATAAGGCATATATCAGCCTCTCCCTCTGGATTGAAAACCAATTTTTTTCCACGCAAACCTTCAGGGTAGTCTACATGCGAGCCTAATCTTATCGGATGTTCAATCTGACCACAGTTATGTAAAACCCGGTGAGCCGCTCAACCAAGACATTGGAGCCCTCCCTCTCTTCCAGGTACTGGGATATTTTCCCTGTCAATTCGTCAGCCCAAAAATCAATAAGGGTGTCTACCTCTAGAGTTATTCTTCGCCCCTCACACCGTATGGGAAAACCATCGTTATTTATAATATCCAATAGATTCTCCTCCTCCTCCCCGTCTTGTTGTACATTTAAATTCCGCACAATTAGAGTGATGTCTGGGTAAATTAGGAGTGATGGGTGTTGTGGAGAGAAAAGGGCGCATATCTCATTAATGAAAAAATCACTGTATGTTCTCAGATAGAGTCCTGGGGATGTGTTAACATGTTCTGGTATGGAGAATGAAAGCCGAACATAACCGCCATTATAGTTATCAATTCGATCCAGTAGCTGAGGTTGAATTTCTAGGACAGGTGGGGGAGAGGATGAGAGAGGTGGTGGGGGTGATGGGAGAGGGCTAGGGGGGTGGGGGGTGGTGATAGCCCCCCTCCGAGATGAATGGGCGACACTGCACGGTCAGCTATTACGCCAGACGGTGCTAACCAGTCAGAACTGACAGACGCTGATGAGTCAAGGTCAAGGTCTGCTGAGCTGTCGTCTGAGTCAAGGCTATTCTCACGGTTTGTGATGCTGTTGTTAACGGTAGTGTTCTCACCACTGCTGCTGCTGATGCTGCTGATGCTGCTGCTGCTGCTGCTGCTGTCGCTGCTGTCACTGCTGTCGCTGATTGATTGGGGTATGGGGCTGGGGGAGCAACGGGGGGTAGAGTGAGCCCGTGAATGAGCCCTTCCCTCCCTGTGAGTTGAGGGGTGAGAGCCGGATATGGGTAATGTCCACTCTGCTGAGTTGGGTGTGTCACTTTCACTGCCGCTCTCAGCGCTGCTGGATGCCAAATCTATGCACAGTGGTGTGTCATCTGTAAAAAAGAAAAACATATTATCTCTAGAAAGAATGAAAGCATATATATATATATATATATATATATATATATATATATATATATATATATATATATATATATATATATATATATATTTTTTTTTTTTTTGAGGTGAGGGAATAGATTAGGGGGAATTAATATGTTTAGGAAATAGACTGAAATAAGACAGTATTAACTTACTTATGTCCTGGTGTGGAGGTTGAGCAGGTGTGAGGCTATGAATCCTTAACGTTGTGTGTTAACTGGGCGTGATATTGTCTCATAGCCCTCCATCTGCTGGCGCCGCCGCCGCCCTTGTTGAAGGGGTGGGGGGGTGCCAGCGAGTGACATTTGCTCTCCTTAGCTCAGTGTGGGATGGATGGGATACAGACTCGATGACGTCTATCTGTTCCCTCCGTCGATTGAGGTAAGGATTATAATCTGAAATGGAACAAAATGATATTCAGCACGGATGAATGTGGAAAATATGTTTATTATGCATGTGTGTTCGCTTGCAACTGGATGTAATACAGATACGAGAAGTATATTTATATATGATACCTACGTTTATGTGAAGTTTCATTCCGGCGATGACCTCCTCGCGGGGCAGGTGAGCAATAAGAACACTTCACGGTTTTGTAAACTGAAATTGGAAAGAACATATTTAACTGTGTGGAATGTAATAGCCCGAAAGAGTAAATATTCTCACACTATAAGAGAGATAATAGTTTACACACGCGATATTTCACCTGTGGATGCCATAAAATGAACTGTGGAATATTAAATAAGAATAACACTCACAGTTATCACAGAAAATCTGCTAACATCGCTTGCATTTGATGTCGTAATGGCCTAGGGGCGGTTTTTCACAGCTTGCGCATTGCAGCCGACATAGTTGATTTGGTGATGGAATATAAAACACTCCGCATTTCATGCAGGCTGTTGAGGTTCGTCTTTCCATGACACGGAGCTGTATGGTGAGTGTGTGTAGCGAATGAAGACTCGCAGTGAACTAACGGCGCGTTTGTGTGTGAGGGGAGGGAAACGATCCTGGTCAAATGAGAAGTGATTGATGGTTGGCAGGTGAGGGCCTGCTAGCGGAAGTAAGACCCTCGCCCCTCCTTAACAAATCCGCAGTGGAGGGAGAGCCATGCTGGGGTGAACATCTCCAAGACTACTCTGAAGACATCGAAAAACCACTAAGGCAAATGGACCACATCCCTCCTCCTAGACTCTGCTCTCTCACCTCCGGCTGTGTGCATAGCTCCAAGAAAATAATGGATGTCAAAACCACAAATGGCCCCTAAGCACTCTCACGCCGAGAGGAAGCTCCCCTCACCCTTCCCCCACCCCAAACAACATATCCGCCTATGTTGGGACCCCTCACACCTACACACACACACAGCCTTTACATAGCTTACTTACTATCATCATCAAAACTATTATCTACACACAGGATTAAGTCTAAGGCAAACACACATACATATTTAACTACTCTTTCCACATATTCCACTCATATCCTTGTATTTCTTACTCTACCACATACCACACTTACTCTCCTACACCCCCAACAACATGACCTCCCATCTTTCCTGACCACACACCCAAACACCAGACGCTCACTCGCGTCCGGCACGCGCCAAACTTCCGGGAAAATTCCCCCCCAAACCCTTTGCGACTAGACACCTGCGCACCACCTGCCCAGCTGGCTCTATAGAGCCACCTGGGCAGATGGCGCGCGCGGTTCTAGTCGCACTTTACCCTACTGGCTGTAGTCACGCACCAAGAGGTAGGCTGGATTTATGCACCAAGAGGTAGGCTGTAGTCACGCACCAAGAGGTAGGCTGTAGTCACGTACCAATAGGTAGGCTGTAGTCACGCACCAAGAAGTAGGCTGTAGTCACGCACTAAGAAGTAGGCTGTAGTCACGCACCAAGAGGTGGGCTGTAGTCACGCACCAAGAGGTTGACTGCAGTCACTCACCAAGAGGTTGACTGTAGTCACTCACCAGGAGGTTGACTGTAGTCACTCACCAAGAGGTTGACTGTAGTCACTCACCAAGAGGTTGACAGTAGTCACTCACCAAGAGGTTGACTGTAGTCACTCACCAAGAGGTTGACTGTAGTCACTCACCAAGAGGTTGACTGTAGTCACTCACCAAGAGGTTGACTGTAGTCACTCACCAAGAGGTTGACTGTAGTCACTCACCAAGAGGTTGACTGTAGTCACTCACCAAGAGGTTGACTGTAGTCACTCACCAAGAGGTTGACTGTAGTCACTCACCAAGAGGTTGACTGTAGTCACTCACCAAGAGGTTGACTGTAGTCACTCACCAAGAGGTTGACTGTAGTCACTCACCAAGAGGTTGACTGTAGTCACTCACCAAGAGGTTGACTGTAGTCACGCACTATGAGGTAGGCTGTAGTCATGTATCAAGAGGCAGGCTGTAGTCACGCAGCATGAGGTAGACTGTAGGTTCAGCCAATTGGAACGTCACTACTGACAATTCTTTCCATGTTTATCATGTATCATTTGAAGTGTTTTTAAAATGTTTAACAACGTATCTTGGATATTTGACAATATATTTAAGACGTCTTAACAATTTATGTTAGATGTTTTAATTATCATGGTATCTTAGACGTCTTTAACAGTGTGTATAAGATGCCTTGATCGTCTTTCTTAGTCTCACCTGACCCATGTATAGTGAGACTGACAAATGTATGCCTTGTATTGTGTGACTGACCAATGTACAATGTATGGTGTATCTGACCCCAATGTATACCATTTATTGTGTAACTGACCGATGTATACCATGTATGATGGTGCAGGCAGACGTGGCAGACAGCAGGGTGAGGTTGTCGTCACCAGTGTGCAAGATAGTGTGGGAGAAGGAGGAGAAGGTACAGGGTGACAGGGTCCTCGTGGTCACCCTCGGGGCAGACTCCTATCTCGCCCGCCATGTTGTGGTCACCACCTCCGTCGCCCACCTGCAGGAGCGTCACGCCCACCTCTTCACCCCTCCTCTCCCACCTTCCTTCCTCTCAGCCCTCATGGTAAGACTCTCACACCTTCCTTCCTCTCAGCCCTCATGGTAAGACTCTCCCACCTTCCTTCCTCTCAGCCCTCATGGTACGACTCTCCCAGCTTCCTCCCTCACAGCCCTCATGGTACGACTCTCCCACCTTCCTCCCTCACAGCCCTCATGGTACGACTCTCCCACCTTCCTCCCTCACAGCTCTCATGGTAAGACTCTCCCAACTTCCTTCCTCTCAGCCCTCATGGTACGACTCTCCCAACTTCCTTCCTCTCAGCCCTCATGGTACGACTCTCCCACCTTCCTCCCTCTCAGCCCTCATGGTACGACTCTCCCACCTTCCTCCCTCAAAGCCCTCATTATAAGACCCTCTCCCACCTTCCTTCCTCACAGCCCTGATAATTAGACCCTCTCCCACCTTCCTCCCTCTCAGACCTCATGGTAAGACCCTCTCCCACCTTCCTCCCTCTCAGACCTCATGGTAAGACACTCTCCCACCTTCCTCCCTCACAGCTCTCATGGTAAGACTCTCCCACCTTCCTCCCTCACAGCCCTCATGGAGGTTACGAGTATTAGTAATTACCATTTGTGAAAAATACCGCTCACTGTTATAATACAATACACTAGTGTAATATATACCCTACTAGTGTAATACTCAATACTAATATAATACATTACACAAGTATTACACTCTATACTTTCTGTATGGAGTGTAATAATTCCGACAGTGAAGCTGTCGGAATTATATTAGTATGGTGTATAATACACCATACTAATATAATACTTCATTCAAGTATATATCACAATAATGTATAATACTCCTTACTAGTATAATACACTATACTACTATATTACACCATACTAGTATATTTCAATATAAGAGTATTTTACAATATGTTAGCATAATACACAATACTTGCATAATACACCATACTAGTATAACACATCACACTTGTATAATACATCATACTAGTATAACATATCATACTAGTATTATATATTATAATATTATATTACATCATACTTGTTTAACACACGATATTAGTATTGCATATCATAATAGTAATATATCATAATAGTATAATACACACAATACTAGTATTATACATTATAATCGTATAATACTCAATACTTGTACAGTACATCATATACTAGTAGAATAAATCGTACATATACATCAAACTAGTATAATACACCATAGTAGTAGTAGTATAATACACAATCCTTGTATAATGCATCATACTAGTATAATACATCATACAAGTATAATACACCATACATGTATAATACTCAATACTAGTGTAATATATCAAGGTAGTATAATACGACATTCCAGTGTAATACATCATACTAGAATAATGTAGCATATTAGTAAAATGGTTAGTAGGCATCCGTCAATCCCATGGGGCTATGGAGTTGTGCCCTGTGTGTCTAGTTGGATGCAACATCTGCTGTGCTTGTGAAGTCCAACCCGTGAACGACAGTCCGATCGCAATGGGTGCCGAAGCCAATGGATAAACGCTAAAGCGGTCGCGTCCATCAGTGGTCGAGACTTCTTCTGAAGTCTCTCTTCCTCCGCCTGTCTCTTCAGTTCGCCCTTAATTGTTGGAATCCCTTCTGCACTTTGCATCTCCAGGCAGATCTGTCCGCAGCTGTTGACTGTTTAGTGTTTATGGCGATGCTCAGCTGTTTGAGGTCGCGTTTGCAGACGTCTTTGAAACGCAGCTGGGGTCTTCCGGTGGGCCTCTTTCCTGATGCCAGTTCTTCATACAAGAGGGTCTTTGGTATGCGGCCAGCTTCCATGCATGTGACATGTCCCAGCCATCGCATGCGTCTCTGCTTCAGAAGAGTGAACATTGAGTGAATTACTGTTCTCTCGAGTAGAGTGTTGCTGGTGACGTGGACTCTCCACATGATGTCTGGGATGCATCTCAGGTTCCGAATGTGAAAGGTAAGCGTGTTCCGTCTCTCCTGGCGAGAGCGCAGGGTCTAGGATTCGGAGCCGTAGAGAAGTGTTCTCACCCCACATGCCATTTTGACCTGCGCCTTGGTGTGCACTGTCAGTTTGTCCTTTTCCAAAACGCGATTTTTGAGCCTGGCCAGTGTAGTTGCGGCCTTCTGATACGCCTGTTGAGCTCAGTGTCCAGGGAAAGGGTGTCTGAGATTGGAGCCCAGGACACAAGCTCATGGACCGCCTCCAGCACGTAATCTGTGATGTTTATATAGGGTATCTCATTGACGTCTTGTCCTATCATCTATTTCTTCTTCAGGCTGATTGTCAGGCCGAATACGGAGCATGCTGCGCCAAAGCGGTTGAATATGTGCTTCAGATCTTCTGCTGTGTGTGTGGTGATTGCTGCGTCGTCGGCGAAGAGGAAGTCCCAGGAGATTCTCATCTGTATTTTCGTCTTTGCTCGGAGTCTGGATAAACTGAAGAGCTTTCCATCAGATATTGTACAGAGATAGATGCCCTCTGTGGTTGTTCCAAATGCATGCTTGACGAGGATCGCGAAGAAGATTCAAAACAGGGTTGGAACAACAACGCATCCCTGTTTAACACCAATGTTGATGTTGTATGGTTCAGAGGTTGAGCTGTCGTACACGACCGTACCAACCATGTCCTAGTGGAATGAGTGTATCATGTTGAGTAGGGAGGGTGGGCAGCCAATTTTGGCCAAGATCTTGATGAGTCTATTCCTGCTCACGAGGTTGAAGGCCTTAGTAAGGTCAATGCACAGAGCTTTTCTCTGCTCCTTGCCCTTTTATTGAAGCTGTATCAGCGAGAACACCATGTCAATGGGGTTCTCGTCACGTCTAACACCGCACTGTGCCTCTGGGTATACTCTTTCAGCAAGAATGAGGAGCCTGGCCAAGACGACCCTGGCGAAGAGTTTGCCAACGACCCTGACGAGGGAGATGCCGCGATAATTGTTGATATCGCTTCTGTCCCCCTTTACTTTTGTAGGAAATGATGAAGTTCACATCTCTCATGTCTTGTGGCACCGAACCTTCTCTCCAGCACGTGCACAGAAGTTCTTGAAGCTCAGTTTTAAGTGTTCCTCGAGCACAATTAAGAACTTCAGGAAGAATCTCGTCGTCTCCTGGGGCCTTCCTTGAGGAAAGTGAATCTAGTGCTATCTCAACATCTTCCACAGTCGGTTCAAGGTCAAGTTCTTTGTGGATATATACCCACAAACACAATATATTACCTCATTAATACTGTAACAAAGACAATATGTAGCCTCTATAATTTTGTAACAAACACAACATGTTTCCTCTATAATATTGAAAGAAACTCAATATTTCTCTCCTATAATAATATTACAAACTCAATATGTTTCCTCTGTAATACTGTAACAAAAACAATATATTGTCTTTATTCTTTATCAAACACAATATGGTGCCACAATTATACTGTAACAAACTCAATATATTGCGTCTATAATACTGTAACAAACACTATATGTTGCCTCTATAATACTTTAAGTAACACAATATGTTGGCTCTATAATAAATTAAGATACACAATGTGTTGTCTCTATAATACTGTAACAAACCCAATATGTTGCCTCTATAAATCTGTAACAAACATGATGGGACGACGATGGATTGTTGCCGCCGAAGGCGGCTAGTTTATTGTGCACCCCATACTCATCCTGTGAGCGGTAGCGCAAAAGCATTACAGAGGGCACAAAAGGTCTTTATTAGACCTCATTTTAGATTATTACATAAACAATTTCATCTATCCTTCACACCTTATAGTTACAATGTCAGCTAGTTACAGAGAAAGTGCTGTTACAAGAGCTACATATTTACAGTAAGTCATCATACATTAATGGTAGGTCTTATCGCTAATTCATAATAGTTTGACCAATGGGGATATGACAGAGTCATAGGGGAGCTTCTGTTTATTATTAGTCCTCACAATACACTACTTATTTCTGAATCTCATGTCGTTCATCTACTGGAAGCGAAATGTGGATATAGTGCATGGATTTCAGGTAATTTATCCAGGGTAATAAGATAGGTTGCCATATCATACAAAGTGAGCTTAGATTTATCTCTAAATGGCTCAATTTTACTACAATCCAAGATATAGTGTTCGAGTGTGTGCCCTGTCTTTGTCCACACACTTTACACTTTACTTCATCTAGATCCCTATACAAGCCGAACTGCCAGAGATACTTGTAGCCAAGTCTTATACGAGCTGTGACAACATCTGTTAGTCTACTGACTTTGTTACTTGCCCCATACACATGTTTTACTTCACACATTTCATTGTGATGAACAATGGACCTGCTAGTTTCAGTTTGCACTGTTCTACTTTCTTCAAATTCATCTAGGAGTTCTCGTCTAATGACACTTTTAAGGGACCTCTTTGATAACTCAAGATTCCGTTCAATACTGTCTTTATTTACTGCAGCCTTAACAAGGGCGTCAACTTTGTCATGTTCCTGCATGCCAATGTGAGAAGGAATCCACAACATTTTTATATTTACCCTCTTGCTAAGTATTCTTATATATCTACGTCTAGCTTCCAAGACAAGCACGTTATAACTTGATTGCAAACTGTTTATTGCTCGTAGTGAGGAAAGGGATTCAGAAATAATTAAGCTGTTTACTTCAGTGTTGTCAATAATTTCGAGTGCTACCAGTATCGCTACCAACTTGGCTTGCATTGTGGACGCCCAGTTACTAATTCGGATATTTCTTTGAATTGTGCTGCCATCGGGCTGATGAGCAATAACAGCACTTCCTGACCTCGCTGTAGCTGTATTGAGTGATCCGTCAGTGTATATGGTCTGTGCAATGTTGTTTTCAGCTTGTATATTGTGACTGTGTTCTATGGTGCTTAATTTAGCAGCAAACTGAGCATGAGGATTGTTTGTGATTAGTTTCTTGGTGGGGTATGCAGGGGTCAGGATGTCAAAATGTACTATCTGCCAGGGTGGAAGGAAGTGCTGTACTCTTTCATCTGTATATACATCGTGCAGTCCCATCATTTTAATATGAGTAACTGTTCTTTGAATCCATTTACACTCGCTAGTTCCATATCGCATGTGTTCTAACAGTGCAACTGACACAATGTTGTTTCTGTTATCACGCAGAAGCCTTAGTCCCATCATAAGATTAATTTCAAATATTCTATCTCTAATGCTAAGTATATTTAATTCTTTCCGCATGTTGAGAACTTTGGTAGTTATAGGACAGCCAAGTATAATTCTGAGTGCTTCATTTTGCATTTTTTCCAGTCTATCAATACTTTTGCCATTCTGCAGGACCAAAGCTGGTGCATGATAGTCTATCAGAGACCTTATATACGCTAAATACATAATTCTTGCTATTCTAATATTAACACCATATTTCGGGCTGTACCCCACTACAGTTCTGAGAGCCTTGAGTCTGTCTCTACATTGTTGATGTAACTTATTGACTGCAGTTGAGGTACAAGGGACAGAGACCCAAAGGTATTTGAAAGAAGAGACTATTGGTATGTTGTCTATCTTAAGTTTTCGTGGTTCACTCTTGCGGTTGCCAATTTGTCTGTTAAATTGGCGACTAATGTTGTACATTAGTTTTAGCAGCGTTGATTACAAGACCAAGGCTCTCACAAACTGTATGTATACAATTTAAGACTGTTTCCATTTCGCGGTGGGTTTTAGTATGCACAAGGATGTCATCTGCATAGCTGATAGTGATGTTTGCCGGACTAGTTGGGATTGATTTTAGTAAAGCATTAATTAGAACATTAAACAAGGTAGGACTAAGTACTCCTCCTTGTGGGGTGCCTAGTTGCATTACTTTAGTTTCACTCTTGTAGCCTTGGAACAGTGCAGAGGACTTCCGGTTGGTAAGATAGCCTCGTATCCATTGTAATAAATGTCCCCCTATATCCATTCTCGCTAATTCATACATAATCACTTCCATATTAGCAATATCAAAGGCATTTTTTAAATCAAGAAATGTTGTGTACTTGTGCCTTTTATCTCCATGAACAATAAGAAAGGTTGTGATACAGTTGTGTACACTTTTACCATGTGTGAAACCATTGATACCAGGTGACATGTGCTCTTTAACTCTATACAATAATCTATTAAGCACCATTCTCTCAAAGGTTTTGCACATGCAACTGGTCAGTGAGATGGGACGAAAAGCATCAGGTTGGCCAGGCTTTGGTACAGGTACCGTAAGACTGGTGGTCCATGATACAGGCAACTGCCCAGTGACATAACTCGCATTAAACAATTCTAATAATGGGTTACCGGGTACACGATGTAGGAGTCTTAGAATATCATAGGTGATGCCGTCCTCACCAGGAGCAGTGCTACTGCCCCTGGAGAGGGCTGCATCCAATTCATAATCTGTATATGGAACATCACATTCATCATGTTGCTTGCTCAACATGAAATTTATGAGAGCATTTCTGTCTGTGGACCTCTCCTGCAATTTCTCCCAAGTGCTAGCTGGTAACATTCCAAGGCTGGAAACCTGAGCCCATTTTGATATTAACTGATTGGCTTTCTGTAGCGGGTTTGGGTGTGAAACTTGTCTACTATTTTTACCAATAATTTTGCTTATGCCTTTCCAGGCTTTGCCCAGGGGAGTATGCAGGTTAAGTCCACTAACAAAACCCTCCCATTCATTTTGTCTCAGTTCAGTCATTCTCTCCCTTGCCGCTGCAAGCGCGGCCTGAAACAGTTTTAACATTTGAGGAGTTCTAAGGTTCTTATATGCTTTACCTGTCTGTCTAGCAATTGATTTAAGCTCTTTCAGTTTAGCATCATCATAGTACTGGTTGTGTCTGACCTGTTTACCAGTACTTCTTTTTGTTTGGTGTGACTCACTATTTTTGATGGCCTCATAGGTTTTATTTACGAGGTCATCATAAAACTGTTGTACATTCTCAGGCTCATAATTGTTATACCAATGTTCTATGCTGTCTATAAAGAATTTTTCTTGCTCTTTCCTTACTGTTAGCCTGCGTCTACTCAGCTTAGTGCCAGGTAGGTCAACATTAGCCACGTGTATGTTAGCTGTTATGGCTAAATGGTCAGACATTAAGTCATCCATAATATCAGTCTCATGAGTTGTGTATGACAGGTTAAAGCCAATGCACCTATCTAGTATACCTCTATATATTTGCGTTGGTTGATTCTTACTGATACTTTTATCATCATCATATGCATCGAGAAGTGCCAACAATCTTCTCCCGTTGGTGTTTGTGAGTTGATCCCCTAATTGTTTGTGTTTAGCTTTTAAATCCCCAATTAATATTGTAGAATCAGTATGTGTAAAACTAGGTAGGTCAGTATACTGGAGGAGGCCAGTAGGTGCATAAGCATTCAAAACATTAAGTGTAGAGTTACCAACGTGTACCCGGATACCATGATATTGAAACCCCTCGCGTTGTTGGGCGGGAAGTGGCTTATGTGGCAGGGATTTTTTTTAACATTCATGAGACACGTATTTTTTGATCTGGAATTATAACACTGATAACTAGGCAAATTCTGCGGGGTTTTACCTGCGGGAGTTAGGGTTTCCTGGAGGCAGACAATATCTATGTCTTCTGTTATAACCTTATGATGGAGGTTTGAATACCGTTTTCTAAGAGAAGCAATATTCCAACTGAGTATCTTGATGACACTGTACTTGTTTTTATGAGATTCAGAGGCCGCCATTGTTCTTTTGTACTTTATCAGTCTGCAGTTTCAGGAAAGCAAGTATGTCTACATACCGGTTGTAGTGCTTTATTACAGCTTCTTTTTCCTCTTCAGTCAGCACATCACCTGTCACCATTTCTTTAAATGTGTCACGGCGGAACCATCTGGGATGTGGCGTGCGCGGCCCGAGGCGGGCATCCACGTCCAGTTGAACTTCGTCACTATCACTACAAGCGTCACTGGTTTCACTTTGTTCTTTACCACAATCACTTTCATCATTTCCACTACTGTATTCCTTCAAACAGAGTTTATTAGACCCGGTATCAACATCTTGATCGTCATCATCATTAAAGTTCTCACCCTCAGTGTCACTACGTTCATCATCAGGATCAGTTGACCCATAATACTCATCGACAGCACTATGCGTTTCTACGTGGAATAGTTTACCTCTGTAAATAGCGCACTGCGTTGATGAGGCTGGGGTGTGGGGAGCCGTGGTGGGAGAGCCCAGCTGGTGTGAGGGCTGGGACACCCCCTGCTGGGGTCTACCCTGGGGTACTGGCCGCATGGAAGCACATGGTGGTACCCCAGGTTGGTGTGGCCTGCACTCAGTTATTAATACTCTCACAGTTTCCTGAAGAGTGGTTATCATCGTCTTTTGGTGCATGATTTCCTTATTTTGTTCAGTTATCTGCTTAGTCAGGTTTTCCACAATTTTGTTTTGTTTTTCTACTCTATGCATAAGCTCACTAATTTTCTGTGCCTGATCCAGGCCCCCCGACCAACATGAATTGGTAGGGCCTACAACTGTGTCACTCAAGCTACTAGCCGTGG